TACCAACTAGGCCACTAAAAATAATGTTGGAGAAGATTTATGGATCAATTGTAATTATTTACTGTAGTTTTTGTATTTTATTTTTGTAATTTTGAGTTCTAATAATCAAATTTGGTTACTATATTTTGGAGAGGCCTTTGATATTAAAGATTCATACAAAGAAGTTAGTGGATAGCTTAGATTTGTATGAAGCAAATGTTGTTAAAATCAAGGCAAATCAATATTTTCTAATTCCTTGAATTAAATTGATAACTCAGTTGATTATCTATTGAAGAGGAACGATGAGTTAATTATATCTAAGTTGAGAAATATAATTATATTTTTAATTTTTATTCAGTCGATATCATAATTTAGCAAAGTACGAATTGAATTAATATATTTGCTTGCTTGGAAAAAAAAAAAATGTAAGGCTAAATTTGTTATTAACAATTAGGCAATATAATGCAAATGCTACGTCAATCTCGTTCTACCTTTTCACACTTCATGTAAAAATTGACCAGTCTTGGAGATTTTTTTTTTTTTTAATCTTGCTTCTTACATTATAAAATTAAATTTTTAATAAAAAAAAATTTTCAAAATTAAAACTCTACTCGAGAAACTTTAATTCCAACACTTTTTGTTTTTATAAACCAATTGAACAGTACCTAGATCTGTCAATATCTTCCATTTAAATTTATGAATTGAACAAGGTCAATTCCCAAAGACGCCCTGGCCAAAAATGAAACTATTTGTAGAGGAATAATGATTTGTGAGCCGTATTAGGTAATTGTCGAATTCAAATTATGTGAACGGGGCACATTCACAGAATTTGAATTTGGTAATTATCGAATTCAATTCTTAACTTACTACTCTTTGTTAAGTATTTTTCACATCTATTCTACTATTTTAATTAGTGGACAAAAAAGTTAATCATTTGAATACCAATCGTAATTCTATTGATTTGGGGTGCTCTCGGTGTAATTCTATGTATAAGTTGCGCAATGGGGAAAAGGTTGTGAAAGTTTAAACAAAATATAAAATTTAAAGGAGATGAATAGACTTTACATGCACCATGTTCGATTTTCGGATTATTTTAATTTTAGTCCAATTAAAACAATCAAATACACAAACACAAATAAAAGTGCAATAAAGAGATACACCATGAATTTTTTTATGTCAAACCCAAAGAAAAAACCACATTAACTTAACGATCTTAGAGCAAAATAATCTATTATCTTGAAATTACACAAAGTCGATCTGAGGCTCACACTCACTTTACTCTGTTAGGAACGAGTTGTTGAACACATTAGGCTTATGAATCATTGTCCAATTGTTGTATACTTCATGCTTACTACTTAATCATTGCAAAAGGATTGTTGGAAACTATCATCTTGTAGTGCAATTAAATCTTCAATAAATTTTGAATGCCAATCACATTGAGAATACAATCCTAATGCCAATCACATTGAGAATACAATCCTAAAATCACTCTCATGAATGGTGTGTCTCCTAAATATATATATATATATATATATAGAAAAATCTACAAAAATTTTATGTGAAAATCACTCTTAAAGTCTCTCTTACTCTCAAAAATAAATTTTTTATGCACGTCCCATCTTATCATGAAACTAGGAGAGTATTTATATATATATATATATATATGAGAGTACTCAAACTTGTTAAATTTTTATTAAAAAATATTATAGGGAGTCTCTTAAAGTTTGGTTTAAAAAGAGTTTGAAAACTGGTTGAAAAACATAATCCTTTTCAAATCTGGACAAGCTCCGTCGGTCGCGAAAAGTAAGATTAGTGGAACTTTGCATAATTCCACAACCAGGATTAATTGGACCGGTCACTAAAAGTGTGACCGATGGGACTTTGCAGAATTACAATTTTTCAGCTAAAATTCTAATTTTTCAATCCCAACCAAACTAAGGTTTTCGTACAAAGTGTCATAACTACCTCTAAGTGATGTTCTCATTGAATTAAAGGTATCCTTACATATGTTGTTCACTATAATCAATACACAAAATAAAGCAAAAATTACAACTCGATCGACAAGTATTAACAACAAAATTTGTCAAGATATAACATCAAATTTTTGTTTGTTTTTTTTATTTTTTTCCTTGTCATCACTAGTGTTGTAGAAAGGACCTTCATTGAATAATTGCTAATATATGTAAACATTTATACACACATATCCCGTCCTAGTCATGGCCAATAGAAAATTAAGAAATGCTACCATAAAGTTGACCTTATTATAGTTTTCATGAATTCCTCATTTTTTACAAGAATTATGTACAAATATTGATAAGTATTTCTTACCCTTTAGAAGATGATTGTATAGAGATTATAAGGTCCAAATTTCATGTGAAAATTCATTTACACAATATATTACACAAATTATTTAAAATTTTGTATTCTTCTAATTTTAATTTTGTTTGATCAAATTAAACTATTTTGACAATTACGTATAATGTTATTTTATGGTATTTTGAGCTTTTTTATTTTTATTTTTTATTTTTTTAAGTAAGGTCATTTTAATATATGTTTTTTATTTTATTTTGTTCCTAAGGTCATTTTAATATTGACTACTTGATTATGTAACTTATATATTAATTTGTGTGCTCAAAATTTGCTACTTAAAAGAGAGCTTAATGACTACCTTCCTGAGATCAAAAGGGTTGTCGGAAACTATCATATTCATAGTGCAATTAAATCTTCAATAAACTCCGAATGCCAATCAGATTGAGAATACAATCCTAAAATCACTCTCATGAATAGTTTGTGTCCTCAAAAAAATATATATAGAAAAATTTATAGAAATTTTATGTGAAAAGCACTCTTAAAGTTTCTCTTACTCTCAAAAATAAATTCTTTATGCATGTCTATCTTATCATGAAACTAAGACAGTATTTATATATCTATATATATATATATATATATATATATATTAGAGTACTCAAACTTATTGAAATTTTTATTAAAAAACATCCTATGACGTCTCTTAAAGTTTGGTTTTAAAAAAAGTTCAAAAACAGCTTGAAAAACAAAAACAAAAAAAATTCAAATCTGGACAAGTCCTGTTGCAAAAAGTAGACTGTTGCGACTTTTGCAGAATTTCACAACAGGGATTAGTTGGACCCGTCGTTAAAAGTCCCAACGAACCTCAAGCTTATATGTCTTCACGTCATATAATTATTCCAAGTGATGTTCTGATTGAATCAAAGGTATTCTTTCATATGTTGTTCAACTTCATGATCAACATACAAAATAAAATAAAAATTACAACTGGATCAATAAATTTCGACAACAAAATTTGCCAAAATCAAATTAAGTTTCTCGTATCTTCTCCATGTACATTATAACATCAAAATTTAGTTTTTTATTCTTTTCCTTGTCATCACTAGTGTCGTAGGAAGGATCTTCATTGAATAAATGCTCATATATGTAGATATTTATACACGTGTGCGTGAGAGAGAGAGCAGTGTTAACCCCTTCCCTTCATGGCCAAACTAAATGGTATCAAAAAGTTGACCTTATTATAGTTTTCATGAATTCCTCATCTTTTTACCGTAATTATGTACAAGCATTGATAAATATTTCTAACCCTTTAAAAGATAATTGTATAGAGATTATACAAAATTTATTTACACAAATCAGTTAAATTTTTATATTCTCTTTCTTTTAATTTTGTTCATCAAATTAAATTATCTTTGACCATTTCATAATAATACTAAACCACCAATTTGTAAATAAGGAAGGTAGCAACCGTATCTTACAATGAGGTGTGGGCGCTCGGTGGAGCAAAAGAGGAGGGGCGCTCAGATCAATGGCCTTAAATAATGCTTCCTTGGTTCCTATTCACTTTCCAATGAGATCTTAAAAGACCAACATCTTCTCAAGTGTCCCATTCTCCAAAAACCCACGAGCACCCTCCTAAATCAAATAAATTAACAACACATCACCCCCCATGTAATTAAGATTTCCTGGTCCCCTCACTCCCCAGCTACCGAAGATGACATTTACATTACATATACATATACATATATATATATATATATACTTACACATACACACATAGTATAATAAAATATAAATAATGGGCAAAAGAAGATTACATTTGATGCTCACTCACTAAGTGCATAAAGGAAAATGCTTCTTGCACTTTGAAACATTCCATTTGATTAAAAATAAATAATAAATAATAAATAATCCATGACCATCGGATTAAAGACCATTAACCAATAATCAATCATTTAATCTCGTCCACACGTCGAATAAGATATGGAAAATCACATCCCTAAATGTTTAATAATAAGATTAAAAAAAATTAATTTTAATTTTTCTATTATTAAAATAGGACGCTTAAGATAATTGATGGACCCAAAATCGAATGGCCTGCAACAAATATCATGTGGGCTTGTTCATTGTAAGATATCTAGAGGAATAATTATAATAATAATAATACATTGTACCTCCAAAAATGCAAAGAGGAATGAATTACTATATATAGATATAGATATAGATGATTTGGGTGGCCTAAAAAGACTGATTTTTTTGCATAGTAGAAAGGGTTTAAAACACAAATACAAAGAACCCCATCATTCCATTTCACTTTAGGAAAAATTAAAACAAAATTAAATAGCAAATATATCTAGGAAAAACAAACCCCACAAATTTCAATGGAAAAGAGGAAGGAAAGGAGCAAAAGTCAGTTGCTCGAGGAAGAAAAGGAGGAAGGAAGAAGCCAAGAGAGCACTCAAATCAAAAGGGAAAACTCATGTCCAAATGGGAGGAATTAGTGTATTACTAGTACTAGAAGCACAATTCCAGTCAATCTAGTCAAACTTTTTTTATAACCCAATACCTCAATCTAACATCATAGACCGATGCCAACATCAAGATTTAAAACATACCACTTGCCCCCCTCTCTGTGTAATTATATACATCCATACATATACATACATACATACATACATATATATATATATATAGATATGTAAAAAAAAAAAAAAACTCTTTTTAAAGTGGTGTAGGCCAAAGGAAACATAGAAGAAAAGGAAAAAATTGGAAGAGAGCTCATCAAAATTTCACTTTCTTTTTCTGGTTTCCTCACTCTCTCTCTCTCACAGTTTTCTTTTCTTTTTGGTTAATTCCTTTTCTTTTCTTTTTTTTTCTCTCTTCCTTTCTGCCGATTAAACAATGAAAATGGCAGATTACCAATCATCCTTTCCCCTCTAAAGGAAACACCCATCATTGCTCCCAACAATCCTTTTCAACCTTAGAAACCTGAGCTTCTAAGATATTCCCTCCTTCCATTCATTCCTTTTCCTCCCTTCTCCCAATTTAAACTTCACTCTCTTTATAACCTTTTCCTCTCCCCACCCTCTCTCAACTCTTAACCATCCTTTCCCTTCCCTTCCCTTTCCTTCCTTTCTTCTCTTCTCCTCTCCTTAGTTAATTTCCTTCTCTCCCTCTTTACCTATGATGGATCCTTCTTCCACCAACTCTGTCAATGGCTATTACACTTTCCTAACCCGAGGGATCGATGATCTCGAACGCCTCTTCCTCTCCAACAACTTCATGTCAATCCAATTCCTCCAAAGGGTACTTTCCCTTCTTCGATCCTTCCACACCCAATTGACCCTTCTTGTCCAAAAGCTTCACTTGCCAATGGGTGAGAAATGGCTGGATGAGTACATGGACGAGAGCTCCAAGCTCTGGGAAGTCTGCCACGTCCTCAAGTCCGGCATCTCCGGGATGGAGAATTACTACTCCGCAGGCTTCAACATCACTTCCTCTCTCGACGCCCATCGCCATCTAAGTCCTCAGCTCTCTCGCCAGGTTCTTCATTTGAAGTTAATTTTTGAAAATTTCAAGATATTTATTATCTTTATATTGAATTGTTATTGTTATTGATTGAATTGTTGGAAACAGGTGATTCGGGCGATTTCAGGGTGCCGGAGGGAGGCGGTGGGATTGGAGGAAGAGAACAGGGGATTGATGGAGACGAGAATTGAGCCGCTCTCGCTGCGTTTTGATGAGAAGGTGTCCATTGAATCGAAGCTGAATGGATTCAATGGTTTCAGGGGAGTTCTGTATGCAATGAGAAATGTGAGCTCACTGCTGCTCATGATCTTGCTATATGGATTGGTCTACTGTTGGCCTGAATCGGGAGGTGGTTTTGTTCAGGGGGGATGCGAAGGGTGTCTGTTTTTCGGATCGGCTTTCATGATCTCGACGGCGAGGTTGCAGCAGAGGGTGGCGGCGGAGATCAACCAGATCAACGGGAGGCCGGGAATTCTGCTGTACGAGTTCCGGAGATCGAAGACGGCCATGGAGGAGCTGAGGGGGGAATTGGAGAAGAGGTGTTCACAGGGAGTGGTGGAGTGGGAGACAGAGGTTGGGATAAGGGAGAGAGTGGAGAACTTGAAGGGCTGTTTTGGGATATTGAGATCTGGTGTTGAGAACATTATTGGTCAGCTTGATGATTTCTTTGATGAAATTGTTGAAGGGAGGAAGAAGCTTTTGGACTTTTGCAGTCACAGGTAGAGGGGACCTAAAGATAGCGTGGTTGAAAAAAAAAAAAGAAAAATATATATATAATATCTACATATATATAATATATTATATATATAAGTAGAAGAACCAGTTGTTGGGGTGGTTGTACTTTTTCTTTTTTTTTTGCCCTTTATTTTTCCTTTCTCTCTATTCCTCCTATGGTTTCTTTGTTTTTCACAGCTACTATATAGTTGAGGCACTGAAGAAATATGTTTCCTTTTTAAGAATCCAAAGAGGAGAGAACTCTCAAGAGAATGTAAAAATCTGGTTTTCAGATAAACAAAACATGGACCAGTACAGATCCCTTTCATTGATTTTCATTTTCACTGTTGCATCCCGTAGAGAGCATCGTGTCACAAGTTATCGTGTCACGAGTTAATTGTTATTCCTCAACGGAAATCAAAAATCAACTTAGAGAATCCTAATCCTATTCCGATTCAAAATTAGGTTTCGTTCTTACTAACTAAATTTTCATTCAAAATTGCATTAAATTTTCTTTCATTTATATATGAAGAATGGAATCTTATTTCTTCTTATTATTTTTTATTATTAAGGAAGAAAAATGGAAAATGCTTAGCTAAAAGTCAAAACCCCATCTCTCTTAATTTTTACTATTTTATTAATTTATTTAAAGTAAAAATATATTCCACAGTGTTGTTTGTGGGTAGTTATAGTAAAATTCTAATGATTCTAGGAGGCAGGAATGATGAAAGTAGAGGCTTAAGACAGTTGGAAGGGTGACTTTTAGGTTCCTGAGTTGCTTTAATTTCAAAAGCAGAAGCCTCTTTGCTCTTGGGAAGCTTTTGTCTGATTCAGTTCGCTTTGAAAGCAATTGAGTTGATGATGAAGGCCTCTAAACTCACCCCCACTTCCTGACATCTCTCTCTCTCTCTCTCTCTATTTTGTTGTCAATTTCCCTCTTTTAGGGGTGAGGAATAATATATTTATATATGCGCGCGCGCACACATAAATAGACACACATACTATATAATAGTCACTTTCACCACCTTCTAACCGGATCTCATGCTTTTTGTCCCTCGCCGGAAATTCATGCCTTGCCTCCCTGGAGGGGTTTTTAAAGGAAAAAATCACTAATAAACAAATGCACAATAATGGAGATGGGGTTAACCAAAAAGATAATGAAAAGAAACTACAAACAAATCTCAGGAAATAAAGGTTTCAAGCAACAAACTCATGTTCCAACTAAAAGACCATTTCTGTTTGACTATCATGTTCTAAGACCTAGTTTGTTAAGTCCATTCCAAATATTTCCTTGCTTGGTACGAAATTTAATGTGGAAATAACCATTCTCTTGGAATGAAATTTCATTCCACATCTAAACCGATAAGCAAAGGTAGGCCCTAGACAACCCAAGAGAGATGAGTAACAGATGAGCTTGCAATAAGAGTTTAACATGCTAAAAACCAACTGCATTAACCAGTACCAAGGAGCAAAAACCGAGAGCAAATTAGAGTTTCACATGCTAAAAACTGACTGCAGTAACCAGTACCAAAGAGCAAACCTGGAGCAGATTAGAGTTTCACAGGCTAAAAACCTAGTGCAGTAACTAACCATTAGCAATGGCAAACCTATAGCAACTACAGCTACCGGGGCGAACAAACAGAGAGCCCGCACAGGGAAATACTTGCCCGGGCTCAAGTTGGAGCGAGCATGCCAAAGATAGAACCTCTCTTGCACATGGGTTCGATCATAGATGCTTGGAGTACGCTTTGTGTGGATAGGTCAATTTTGCCGAGTATTTTCTTGATCTTATGTTTCCTGTACTAATTTAACACTTGTACAATTAAGTTCTGAGTCTTGTACAAAGAAACAACCATCCACAGAGAGTAAATTTTCAAGTATATCTATTTATTTTCAACTTATCAGAATAATCCCTTTTAGAACTGCACAGAAGATGAGCTTCCTGCTGAGTGCTGTATCAAAGAATAATAGTTGCAAAGCTTTAAGACAGACAAAATAGGATATTGACAGAATAACTTCAAGAATTCAGTTACACCTTAGCAAATATACAGAAATGGAAAAAGAAAAATAAAGGTGAACCCTTCTGTATAATTCATCTACAATGAGAATCAATTAGACGAAACAGATGGGTTAGAGATGAGTTAGAGCTTTGGTATCACAAACACCAAACAAAATATTGAACGACTTCCCATTATCTACAGGAGATGAATGGGAAACAGAAAGGACGACGGGAAGGATGTTGGACTAGTTACCATGCAAGTGTTGCAGGTCTCTGAAGAAAGATCACGATGTCACATACATGTTTTAGCTGCCTCTCTTACGCATGGTCAAATGCCAAATCCTGGCAATGCGATCTAGGGAGTAAATGTCTCAACTTTATTACAGAGCTTAACAATATTCTTGTTCTGTATACCCTTCAGGAATTTTTGCGGCAACTTTCCATGTTCCCTTTGCACAGTGCTCGTAATCTGACCGTCACCCGCATCAAAGAGAGTCTGAAATTGATTCAAAATCAGACTTTAGGTAACCTCTAGAGGTCATGGCAGGGTACCTGAGTATATAAATGACATTTAAGTAATAAATTTTGGATATATTTTTAAACAAACTCCTTCCTAGCATAATTACACGAGATTCTAGAGTAACAGCCACAAAGAATAATATGGGATTCAGGAATTAGTGAATAAGATATTGTTAAATAAAAGAAGAAATTTTCAATGAATTTTTATATTGAACCCATTGAATAAAATCCAGAGGGCTAGGCTACAGTCTCGTGTCACCCAAAAACTCCACGAAATCAAGCAAATAAAGAAGCTCTCCACAATCCAAAAATAAGAGAGCTCAAGATTCCTATGTTTCAAAGACAGATCAGGCACCTAAGAACTTTCAAAAAACCCTCCCACTCTCTCCCTCTCTCTCTCTCAACATATACCGTAATAAACATAGATGCACCACTTCAACAAAGCTTACCTATCTAGCAAATGAGAACTTTCAAAAACCTCCTACCAACTAGTATATACCACTACATCCTATCTAACACCTCCCCAACTGACCTCAACAAAAACCAATAAAACTCCAAAAAACACAAACAGCAGGGCCCATAGCTCTAGTAATTAAGCATTGCAGTAAAGAGGTGGCAGATGAACTCAATATCCCTTCTACACGCACAACATCATATACAGTCATAGTTAAAAATCTTCCATTCTTTTTTTCTTTTTCTTTTTTTGAAAAAATAAAAATAAAAAAATCTATTGGAGGAGCTTTGGTGCTAACTAGCTTTCTACGATAACACTCCCACAAGCATATCCTAAGGGCTAGTCCAATGCACGACACTCCCACCATTGTGGGTCTAGGGAGGGTAAGATGTATAGTCTTACCAAGCACCCTATGGAACAATATTATCTCAAAATTGCTCCATTGCAAAGATCTTATCTCACCATCCTCCTCTGCTATAATGGTTTGAAAATAGAGAATGGTAAAGAAAGTCGCAATCTCCTCCTACTCCAAGCTCTGCAACGACCTATAGATTAGATGCATGACATGACATCAGTCTATAAAATTGTATCCATTATAGATACTTATGAATCCAAGTGTAAATCTTTTATCAATCAAACTAAGATACCTAGCTCACTCAGGGAGATGACATCCAAATCAATCAACCGTGTTATTTTTTAGTTGCCAGCACCAAGTAATCTCCGCAAGGTGATTGAATACAGATCTTGGCATCATCCATCACATGCCCAACTAGGAACAGCATCACCAAAAGCTCAGGAGCACCCAGACAAGAACCTGGCAGATAATGAAGTGATACATATTGCATGTATGATCCACTCAGGACCACCAACTCAGACTTACAATTAATTTAATGTCAATTTGTTTCATTTCGACATAATAATATATTACCACAAATGCAGCAAATTCTCCCAAAAAAAAAAAATTTCAATTGACATAATTACTTTGATCATCATCGTCGTCGTCATCCTCCCTCTTGCCTTTGGCCCATTCAAATGGGGCCGGCCATATAATTACTTGGTAATAGTTGACAAAAAGTCACCAATCCTCATTATTCAACTGTTTAACTGCTCACTGGTGATCTTCACATCTTTGCTCTAACCAAACTTAAATGGATATTTATATGTAGATAAATAAAATATTCAGGATATCATTAGATTTGTAAACCTTGTTGATGAACTTTCATATCATATATTTAGAATCCTTGACTGAACGTGCTAACACCATTAGATGAGCAAAACCTCTAGTTAAAACCTATGAAACACGGACACGAGATACGGGTACGACAAGGACCTGATGACACGGCAAATCTAAAAAAAATAGGACACAGACACGACAATAAAATAATACTATAATTTTTATTATACATAAAAAAATTCAAATTTTCCTCAATTTCCCCTCACCCATTTAAATAATAAGGGTCACTAATATTTTGTATTTTTTTTTTTCAAATAAAAAATATAAGGGTTTATTAGTAAATTTCAATTTTTTTTTGATAAGTAATAATAACATTAAAAAAGGCGTTCAAAAAGGGAACGCGTCCCAATTACAAAAGTGGAACCGGGACTAAGGCCCCAAAGAATCCAAGAAAGTAATTAAATCATCAGAAGAAGAACAAAAACTCCTCTTCACATAATTGAAAAGAGAATGAAGAATGTAAAGTTTGACCACTGCCGTAGGCGACTCTTTCCCTTCAAACATTCTGCTATTTCTCTCCTGCCAAATGCACCACCATACACAATGTGGTACAATTCTCCAGAAATCGTGAACATCTCTTCTCACTCGACATCCTCTCCAAACATGAATTAATTCCTTAGTAGATCGTGGCATAACCCAACACATGCCAATTTAATACAAACAAATAAAAAAGGCACAAGTCTTGCACTTGTAATCAAATAGGGTTAGAAGAACATTAGATCGCTCCCGTCACTCTCTCACTCACGAAGTGCCTCTCCTCTGCCAATCGTTCTTCCCTCATCCCTTCACCTTTTTTTGTTTTGGTTGTCTTCTATCTCTCTGATCTCTCTCGCTGGTGGCATATGTTCTTCTAATTCACCCAAAATTGCAGATTGAACAAATGTAGCATATGTTCTTCTGATCTTGACAAATGACAATAGGTCTATGTAAATTTAGTTGTATTGTATCAATTTATATCATGATTTGGATCTTGAATCTTCTGCACAGACGTTTTCCTTTGTGTATTATATATAAAGAATGAATATATTCACATCCATCTATCTATCTATCTATCGATCTATCTATATATATATATATATATATATATATATATATATATTATCTTCTACTCTCTGTTAAACAGGGCGAAGCCGTGTTCTAGAGTGTGTCGCCGGCGTGTTGTCCGGTGTGTCCGTCTCCTGAAAAAATAAAAAAAGGCCAGACACCTCTGCAAGGTGTCGGACTCGTGTCAGAACCTTGGACACGGACACGTGTCTGACACTGGTACAGCATACTCTTTTGACGTGTCGGTGCTTCCTAGGTTAAAACTCACCACGAAGTAACTTATCAAAAAAAAAAAAAAAAAAACTCATACCAAGTAAATCTCACCATGGCATCCCTACAAGCCTCAAAAGCACAAATCTTCTAATAAGCTTAGCTTTTTTAATCCTTTACCAATTGAAGAAGTTTGCTAATCCTCTATTGATTGTTTCTTTGACAAACTTGATCATCTAGAGAACCTTCAACTAAAATTATTTCATGTATACCTATGCAAAATTCACCTTCCTGATAAATAAATTAAAAGAAAAAGATATTCTTGTAAACTGCAATGAAGTTATTTTTCATTACTTGATATGGTATAGAAGTAAATTTACAATAAAAAATTTGGGTTGTGTTTGGATTGAATCAATAAAACTGCAAGATTACTTTAAATGTCAAGGAGAAAGAAATGTTTTTTTTATCTCAGTGGATTAGGAGCAACACTTTAATCTGCCTCTACCTAGACCAATCTGTACTGATGTGTGTCACTGGTACTAGAGAGAGAGAGCTAGAAATGCAAAGGCCCCATCGGATTTGATAATATGTCGCTTAAGAAAATACGCTTCATGGAAAAATTTAAGGATTGGCGGCAAGGGTACAAAATTATAGGTTGATTAAGGTACTGGCAGGAATCTCTAACTTCTTAAGGTTGATCTGAGAAAGTTGGGAGAAGTCTTGCGTCTTGGATATGAGGAAAGTCAGGCTGATGGGGAAGATTACAGAATTGGATGCAGTGAAAGGGAAGGAAGGTTGGAAGCCAAGGAAATCACAAGTAGAGAAGGCAGGAAGCGTAAGTTGGGCCTTTTGACCTTGATGGAAAAGATTTCGTGGTGACAGAAATGCAGGGCTTTGTGGTTTAAGAGGCAAATAATATTATTTACCTAATGGTTGATTCACACAAGATCAAAACATAATGATAAGATATTGATTGATGGTGTGGTGAGGAGTCGAGAGGAGTTGGGGATGAAAATGTGAACCCGAGTAATATCGAGAAGGCCTGTGATGATGTAACTGGGGCTTCCTGATTTACATTATCCAAGGATGGGCTTAGGGGAGAAGTGGAGGCAGTGAATTCATTTCTGCATGTGGTCAAATTTTCGGTCTTGGTCTCTAGCAGTGTTATTTAACAACTCTCGAGGGATGAGACAGGGAGACTTGTTGTATCCTTTCTTGTTTACAATGGTAATGGAGTCTTTTAGTAGGATGGTGAGGAGGACAATGATTCCTGGCCGCATCAAGGGGTTCGAGGTGGACAAAAGCATGGGCAATCAAAACGAAGTATCTCATCTCCCATTGTGTTCTGTGATGCAGTAGAGAATCAGTTGAGATTCTTGAGATGTGTTGATATGTCTGGATTGTCCCGGACCTCCCGGTGGAGGAGGTTAACAATATTCCTGCGCTAGCTGATATTTGGGGGTGTGGAGTTCGGGTTTTTTGGGCTTACCTTTGGGAGCCTTGTCAAGGGTTTCTTCTATTTAAAATGGTCGTGGAGAGGTTGCTGGATGGAAGAAGCAATCTCTCAATGGGAGCCTTGGGAGGCCATCTTACTCTCTTATTTTTTTTATTTATTTGTTTTATAAGAGGCCATCTTACTCTCTTATAAAGAGTACCCTCTCAAATCTTCCAACCTACTATCTTCTAACCTAATATTTCCTCCATTTTAAGCCCTAAGGAGGTGGTAGTGAGGTAGATGATAGTGCAATCCTCTCAAAAAATTTATTTATAATCTAATGAATTGGGGCCAACGGTGAACAAGTTAAAATTGAGTTCTATCATCATGGATGAGAATTTGGGTTGGGCATAGAGCGAATGGGCTTTGGGGAGAAATGGAAAATTTGGATTAACACTAGTATCTCGACATTCAATCCTAGTGAATGCTAAATCTTTCCTCAGGTATCCTTGCTAGCTACAGAGGGACAGGGCATCCCCTGTCCCCCGTTATCATTGTTAAATGTAAATGCCTCCATTACCAAATCTGCAAATATAAATGCATAATTCTAGCTAAATATGTGAGGCACCATTTAGAATGTCTCCCTCACAACTACAAATGTCAATATCGGCAGCAACCATTATCAAGCCACCCAGTTTGTGGTTTTGAGAGCAAGTGCATCATCTATCTACACAAATTCACAATAACTATTGCTAACAGTGCACATAACGTTGATAAACAAGGTTTACTGAACTGAACCACTAGAAAGAATTAAAAAAAAAAAAAACCAAGCTTGGTAATTATAATTATAATTATAATCAAAATCTCCAAATCTAAAACAATCTCACCTTTTCCGCAACAAGACCACTAATATGAAATGCTAGATTCTTCATTTCCTGTTTGCTGCTCTTCGTTTCCATTTGTTGACTGTTGGAGCAATTGTAGTGGAAGGAATGGGATTGAAGCTGGCGTGTTGAAGGAGGTTGAATTATCGACAATTGGTGATGAAAATCGGTAAGTTGGGTGTTGATGCAGTGGGGATGTAACCCTAGAGAGAGAAAGAGTTGATTGAGCTTACCATAAAAGCTTAGAAAACGAATATTATGAAATTAGGGTTCTATGGATAGGTGTAGCAGCAACAGAAACATCGACAACAGCGTCGGAAGCAGCTACAGTAGAAGTAACGAAGCGGCGATCGACGAGTGTTTGATGAAGATGATTGAGAGGGTTCCATTGATGTTGCAACAAAATTATTTCAGATATATGTGTATGTAATTATGTATATGATATATATATAGAGACAGAGACAGAGAGGAGAAAGGTGGATATGAGCAGAAGAAGAACAATCCAGAAAATTGAAGGGTGGAACCGTGGAAGAGTAAAGCACCTACGATATACAATTATATATCTATGTCAACGTCTATATCTATATCTATCACTATTATTAAAAGTACATAGAATTATTAAAAGTATAAACAGTCTCAGTTTTAATACATATATTAATTTATATAAATTTAATAAAAAAAATGACAATGTTTCAATACATATATTAATTTATATTATGTTTTAATACATATATTAATTTATATAAATTTAATATAAAAAAATTTAATTAAAGAAGGAGATATAATATATAGAATATAATATTTGTATTTAAAAATTAGAGAGTTTCTATAAAACTCAACTACACTTATTTAACTCTATTACACACGTCTAATTTATTATTTTATTTTTAGATATATACTGTACTTTGTACATATATTAATTTATATAAATTCAATAAAAAAAATTAATTTGAGAAGGAAATATAATATATAGAATATAATATTTAAAAAAGAGAGTTAAGGACAGATAATATATAGAATATAATATTTGAAAATTAGAGAGTTTCTATAAAACTCTACATATATTAATTTATATAAATTCAATAAAAGAAAATCTAATAATATATAGAATATAATATTTGAAAAAGAGAGTTAAGGAAATATAATATATAGAATATAATATTTGAAAATTAGAGAGTTTCTATAAAACTCTATATATATAGAGAGAGAGAGTTTCTATAAAACTCCACCACGTATGTTTTCTATTTTAAAAAGAGTTTAAGAGTTTTTATAAAACTCTAATATGCTTATTTAACTTTATTTTACACACGTCTATTTATAGGTTAACTATAAACAATTAATTTAAAAATTTTGGACAGATTTTTGACACAGGAGATACAGGTTAGGGCTTTTTTTTTTTTTTTTTTTTATTATGGTGTATTTTCTTCTTTCATTTATTTTGAATTTTTTTTTCGATATATACATGTGTATGTATACATTCTACCAAATTCTTGAACTTGTCCTTTAAAGTGACACATGTATTGTATACTCTAGCAGTATATTAGCATTGCGAAAGACTGAGAAAGACAAAAGAGAGAAGAGCCAGGGAACAGATTTTTGACACACGGAATACTGGTTAGGGCTTCCCCTTTTTTATGGTGTATTTTCTGCATAATTCAGTTTAAGTTTTCCTTTGATTTGATTTTAGTTTTTTGTGAGCTTTTATAATTGAATTATTTATGGTGTATTTTCTGCATAATTCAGTTTAAGTTTTCCTTTGATTGAGTTTGTACGTTTTGTAGTAAAATTATTAAATATACTCCTAATTCTATCATATTTCAAACTCTTCTTTAAATAGCAATATAATTTCTTTTATCTTTTTTATTAAATTATATTTTATATTTACTTTTGCCATAATTCTATTATATTTCAAACACTTTCCTAAATAATAATCAATCTATCGAATCATTAATGGTTTGACTTTTGTTTTCACGTGAAGGTTTATAAGCAAGATTTATTGGTTCCTCAATTTTTTTATTTTTTATTTTTTATTTTTTATTTTTTTCAATCTTTGTCATTTGATCATACTTGTAACTTGAAGACAACAAAGTTGGTCCTGGTTTTGCTTTCTTTCATAAATTTATAAGCAGCTTTTAGTTGTCGCTGTAAAAACCCTAGATGGTAAGAATAGTTTTACATCTTTGAATATATATATATATTAGGAAAAGGCACTTATAGTATTTTTTTTTTTTTCACATTATAGTATTTTTTTTAGAGTAACTTATAGAATTTTTCTTTTCATATATATATTTTAATTATTTATAGTTGCCGTTGTATAATATTGTCAAATATTAAATAAATCTAGCTATATGAATATTTCAAGCTACCAACAATGTTTAGAGTATAATAATTCTTACATCAAAAGGAACAAAATAAGGCTTTTCATTATTAATGGATGGATCATCATGCGAATGATATATTAGAAAATCCAAAATCTCAAAACGTACTTTTTACCATAAACTATTCGAAACTATAATTCTTTGAATTCCTAGACTATAACTATTTGAAAATCAAAGTATATTCTTTAAATTCCTAAACCATAACTCTTTGAAATCAAAGTATTCCTAAATTATTTATTTCTCAATCTTAATCTTTTTTGTATATCTCATTTCTTCCTCAAATGAATCATTATCAATTGTCAATTCTTTGAATTCTTCCACCGCAAAATAATTTTTCACGACTTCTTGTTAAGTATTGTCTATCTTAACCAAAAAAAATTTTTATTTTTCTTTGCAGCTTGTCAGATGAATTCATCCATATCCTGCAAAAAGAACAAATATAGTTTAGAGCTATTGATAAATTCAAGTAAGTATTTTTTTTATTTAATTAAATTTTATGAATAAAGGTAGAAAATTATCTCAATTTGTAATTATAGTAAATCATCTAGTGAACAATTTATTAATGTTTGACAATCATTAAACACTATTAAGATTGTAATATGTTCCATACTTCGCACTTTAATTATCATCATAAATATGTACACAAGTAATGAGAAAGAATCATGTATTTATCATTAAACCATTCAAATAAACATAATAATAATAAGTTTTTAGTATATAATAATACTTTTGAAAGCATTTTGGGTTTGTTGTGTTCCATTGAGGACAGTATATTCTATCTTTTTCAACATTAATTTTCTTGTTGCATTTCTCACACCAGTCGTACCACGTTTCCCGATCATTAACGACCTTTTCAATTGTTGCTTCGAAAGAGTAATTCGTTTTCTGCAGGTTAGGCAACAAAATATAACTTTTCAATATATAAATTGATTATAATAATGTGATACACAATTAAAGAAGATTAAGAAATTTACTGAAATTTAATACCTCGAAAAACATTGTAGATTTTCCAATTATGTTTTGAAGTTTGACTTTTTTAGCACAATTGAATATTTTAGCTTTTGTACTAGAAATCAAATTTCTTATATCTTTGTTATTTATATTCTCTTTGGACATCTTCACATATAAATTATCTTTTAAACTAATTAAATAAGTAAAACAGGAAAACATGTTCTCTTTTATAAATAGGGTAGATTTTGCACCAACAAGTCTACAATATAAAATAAAAGATATATATATATATAATGTAAAAGAAGTTGGAATAAATAACGAATCAATATCTTAATGCTTTGACACTTTCAATACCCATATTAATTTGCAATGTAGATTTTTTTGTGTTTGAAGAGCCAGACCTAGAATATAACATTGTTATTTGTAAAAATTTGTTATTATAGATTTATTTAATAATGTAATGTAAATAATCCCAATTTGTATGATAATTTACGTTTGTAGGTGTTGATTGTCACATGTGTAACTATGATAATAGGGTTTTTCTGTATTCGTTCCATGATAAAGTTTCGTAGATCCTCCCATAATGTCAAAGTAGTTTTCCTTGAACTGTAATAAAGATTAATTACTTTAGTCATTATATTATATTGGCAAAATTATGATCATATATGTAGTATTGTAATGACTTCTCGCTTTTTGTTTGTGCCTTTGTTGTTCTTCTTACACAATAACAATTTCCAAATCATTTAGCCAGATTAAAAATAAAATAAAATAAAATAAAATATTTTTAATTTTAATTTTTAATTTTTTTTTTTTTAAAAAAAAAAAAAAATCTACAAGAGATAACATATATGTGGAGAGTTGAGAATTAAACCAAAAAAAAAAAACCATATTTTCTTTTGCATCAATGTACTTGTTCAGCTCCTTGAAGTCCACAAAATTAAATTTTATTGTTTCTAAGCTTACTACTTCAAGCTCTTCAACTTCAATTGAGGTGTTACTAAGAAACTTTAATTCATATATACTCCTTGTGCACACTCTTATATATAGGATTGACATCTTTTATAGTTACATTAGAAGTTCTTTATGTTTTGTGAAGCAATAGTGAATCGCTAAATTTGGTGGTGAGCTCAGTAAATAAGACAACTTGAATTTGTGTTTCCTGAAAGAGTAAAAAAGATGTCTAAATGGATTAATAAGATCATTAAATAACAATATTTCCATACAAACATAGATGCATTTAATAAAAATAACAGAAATAGCCGATCGTATACTGACATCATCATCTATTAGAACTACTTTCAACATTATTCTTGATGTGTATTCCTCAATTGCTCTTCGAAGTACAACTACTTTTATAGTCAATTCTTTTTTTAAACTAACAAGTGAATTTATTAAGTCAAAGCTTTGGTGACCTTTCTTCATTTTCATGATTAAAAATAAAATTGCGAAATAAAAATGATTGAGTATCAAAATAGAAATGAAAAAAATACATCAATATTAAGTTAACTCGAAATTAATATTTTATGTTTTTAAACGAATAAATTTGTGAGTGAAAATATTTTAATATTGTAATAACTCGTAGCGAATGTAGGGGTATCTTTAATTACCTTTTGAACAATGCAAAATAATTGTGAAATGGGAAGGCATGGATATTAATATGGGTGAACCTCTTTATAGTATATGTACCACCTCTAATGATTGTTTAATTATTCTTAACAAATACTTTAGTAGTTGACATTGAAGTTCCTCTAGATAGTGCCACATATAATTGTCCATGGAAGAACACTTGCTTAGGTAGATAAACTCCAACATAAGGAATTGTTTGCCCTGTGCCTTATTTATTGTCATTGCAAAACTCAACCGGATTGGAAACTGATTTCGTGTAAAATGGAAAGGCATGGCTTCATTTTTTGCCAGGCATAGGGGTATTCTTGGAATCAGTACTTGTTTTCCAACATGTTGTCCATGCCTGATTTCTGCATTGATCACATTGGCCTTTGTTCCACGATAGATGAGCCCAAAATTGCGGAAGAAATGAGAACAATTCAGAAATCAGCCATGGACAACATGCTGGAAAATAAGTACTGATTCCAAGAATACCCCCATGCTCGGTAGAAAATGAAGCCATGCTTTTCCATTTTACATAAAAATATTTTCCAATCCAGTTGAGTTTTGCAATGACAAAAAATAAGGCACAGGGACAAACAATTCCTTATGTTCGAGTTTATCTACC